CAGTGTCCTTACACAGCCTAGGGCTGCCTGCCCGGGAATGGTGCGCTAGGAGGGCTGAGTCCTCTTCTATCAATTAATAATCAAGCCACCCTCCCCCACACATAGCCACGGGCCAATCTGATCTAAGGAGTCCCTTAATTGAGAGTTTCCTCTCAGAGGACTCTAGGCTGTGCCAAATTGACAATCAGTGCTGACTTAGACAAGTGGGTACTTCTTTTACATGGTTGCAGGTAGCTATGCAATCAATGCATAGTGCCTGCCTGGAGAATCTTCATCCTTATAATATTTTCTGGACAAGCACACATGAATATGGTATGAGACATTTTTTATTCCTTTAGCCCAGCTAGCTCCCTTGAGCCTGGCGTGTTTGCATATATCTGAATGCCCTAGGTATTTATGGAAAATTGTCCAATCTCTTTGAGCATTCCCAGGGGCATGCTTCTTGAAGCCCTCTCCCTGGCTCCCCTTCATTTTACCTAAGATATTTGTGGATAAAGTTTCCATCCTTGACTACACCACATTACTCAACTCTGGCATCTGGTAGCTCTTATTTCAAGTCTCTGCGTAGCCCTGGATGTCCTGGAACTTGCTCTGTAGACCAGGCTGGCCTCGAACTTACAGACATTCGCCTGCCTCTGCCTCCTGAGTGCGGGGATCAAAGGCGTGCACCACCACACCTGGCTCAAGTCCCCTTTTAACCTTGCTTTACTGAGAGCCATTTCAGAGCTGAATGAATCCTTGCTGACTATGGTTTCTGGGTATACAGAAGATGCTGGACAGCTGGGTGGATGGGGCTCCAAAGGCAGAAGATTGCTCAGTTGTTGAGTCTTTGTTGTGTAACTATGAGAAGACCTGAGTTCAGATCCTGGCACCCACAAAACTAGTGAGCGCATGCAAACCTGCAGCCCCAGTGCTGGGCATGACTGAGACAAGAGGATGGAGGCAGACTGCAGCCTAGCCAAGAACTGGGAGCTTCAGTTACAGGGAGAGACCCTGCCTCTAAGGAATAGAGAAGAGAATAGGGAAGGACACACAATGCTCTCTTCTGGCCCCCATGTGCACTCACAGGCACACACATGTGCACAGAGACCACACACACATAAATAGATATAAAATAAACATAAAACAAAAATAAATAATAAACAAACAAAAATTTTAAAAAGAATTGGCTTAATTAGGTGCGGTGGTACACCTTCTAATCTCAGTATTTGGTTGACATAGGCAGGCAGATTCCTGTGAATTCAGGGCCAGCCTGATGTACAAGGCAAGTTCCAGGACAGCCAAAGACATGGAGAGACCACGTCTCAAAATAACAACATAAAAATAAAAAGAATTGGCTGAAGGTTTACATTTTATACTTCACTTACTATTAGCAGACTAGGAAATGTTAGAAGAACAAAATGTAAAGTTTGCAATCTAAAGACTATAACGTGTAACAGGAGTAAAGGTTTTTATTCCTTTGGGAAATACATACGTCAGGCACTGCACGTGACTTGGCAAACCATATACGTGGATAAGGCTTTGAAGACAATGCAAAGCAGTGTAAAACTTTAGTCTTTTAGTCATTTGATTTTGTTTTCCAAGCCAAGGTCTCACTATATAACCTAGGTTAGCTTGAATCCTCTGATCTCGCTGCCGCAGCCTACCCCGTGCTAGAATTACAGACATGTGCCTGGCAGTCACTTTATACCTATGTTGGGATTCTTTCCCCTAAAAAAGTACAGGTATTCTCTCAGCAACAGTTCACTTAGTGTACAAAACCATAATGCTCTAGCAGGATCCTTAGAGAACCTGCTGGACCAAGGAGCCAAGACCAGCCCTCACCCACCCCACACCACCCCTGGGCTTCGGGCCCCACTGCTCCTTGCTGCTTCTAGTGAGCTCACGTCACCTCTTCCGTGGGAAAACATTACATAACACTTGAGTCTATTTTACTATCAAACTAAAAGAAATATTGAACTTTAGCATAAAATCTGACCATATTTGGCAACTAATGAAAACCTCCACTTATTCAATTATCAAGGTGAGATGGTTTTGTGGGGGAAAGTCTGCTATAAAAGAAAACAGTGCTTAGCCAGTTTGTGGAAATAAAAACTGTCTAAATGACTCAATATTGGCCTTTATGTCTTCTCAATGTGAATGGGGTGGGTCCTGACTGGTAGTAAATAGTAATTGCTTCAGCAAGTGAAAAATTTAAATATAACACACCCCCTGTTTACGAATGATGCCCCTACCTTAGAAACATGAGAAGATCTCTGGAAAGCCTCCACGTCTGAGGCCCTTCTGGAAAGAGGAGGCCCATTGGGGGCTTTGACACTGTACTTTCCAGAGGATCAGGCTAAACTAAAGAAGGCCTTCGGGTCTGTATGTATCTTAGAGCTCATGCCACAAATAGCAGCCATAAAAAATGAGAAAAGGAGCACCCAAAGTTCTATCATGCTAACACACTAATTGCTTTCATCTTCTTTGTTCGCTGAGTACTTGATTTAATGCCATTATTTCACACAGCTATAAATACTACCGAGTTAAACTGCTGCTTTCTTTTTCCACGTAGCATTATATTATTAACTCTTTTGTCTTGAGGCTATTTTGGTGGCAAGGAACATTTTACACAGTCAAGTCAAATTATCTCAGAATAAAAAGGTAAGGGAGCTTGTGTGTGTGTGTGTGTGTGTGTGTCTGTGTACTGTGGGGGAAGAGTATGTGCTCTGTGTGTGTGTGTGTGCATGTGTGTGTGTGTCTGTGTACTGTGGGGGAAGAGTATGTGCTCTGTGTGTGTGTGTGTG